CCTTTACCATGGAGCAGGCATGGCAGGAGAGGCTGTGGCATAGGCAGTCTGCCATGCGTAGGGCTGTTCTTTCATCATAGATGTAGGAGCTAAAGCTTCTCAATAACTACAACTATCCCAGCACTTTGTCAACCAGAATTGAAGGACTTCCATTTGGTTGTACCATTTTTCAAACTAGACTGGTCTGCAGGCTTGTAATAAAGGACGGCTGAAATGGAAGGCAGTGTGTGAACTCCCCTCCATTGAGAATTCATTCTGCCTTCCCACCACAGTTTCCATCCTCTGGTAAAAGAGAGTTGAGCACAGGCAAGATGCACTGCTGCATGCAAAGCTCAGCTCACCAGTTCACCCATTCACAGTTCCTAAAAATAGCAAACATTTCCGCTCGCTCTTGAGAATTCTGCACTATCTTGCAGAAGTGCAAGATGAAGGATCTTTAACTCAGCAAAGATGGGGAACCCTGGATATAGACTAAGCCTTTGGGATATTTCCTTAGAAATATACAGCATCTAGCATATGGTGTGTCCACGCTCTTGGGGCTGATGTGAGCTGGGATTTGTGGCTTAAAGGACACATAGTTGCCAAAAAATGATGCTCCCAGCTGTTCAAGCAGTTGTTGATTCTGTCAGCAACATCAGTACTGGTGGTCTTCTCATCCAGGGCCGACATACAAAGGTGATTACATGGCACTATAATTGCTGGTAGAAACTTTGTCCTGTGGAAGGGCTTGAAGAAAACCTCTTCTGCTAGGAACCCACAAGATGTAACAGCCAAAGGTTTCTGTCTTGTTGAGACCAGGCCTAGGTGCAGCTGCAGCAAGTGCAGGAAGAGAAGGCCATGTCCTACACAAGGCAGGAAACATTCCCTTACCTCTGCCCTTCCCTATTTCCACATCACGAAGTATACTTCATGTATTTGCAGGGTGTTTTTCGTCTTCTGTGCAAGAAGATCAGTAGCACTTCTGGTTCTGTGTCCAATTTGCTTTGTTTTCTCTTCCCTTGTTTTGATTCTTGTTTTGTTGTTGTTGTTGTTGTCATTGATTGGGTTTGGTTTTTTTTATTGCTGTTGTTGATGATTATTTTTTTCTGCTTTGGGAGAATAACCGTGTTCTTCAGGGAGCTGCTGGTTTGACAGAAGGGCCAGCCCTGTCCCATCCTGTAAGCAGTGCATGGAGACCAGTAAGATTTTCCACCTTGATGGCAAACCCTGGGGAGGAGTGGCACTTAGCTGATAACTGTGATGGCAAGGGAAAGAGCTCCTTGTTCCCCCTGCCACAACAGCTCCTCAGGGCCAGAGGTGACACAGCTAAGTGGTACTGGTAGAGATTCATTTTGGATGCTCCCTAGTGCTAGTTCTAATTATGGTATTTACTGATGTGGTAGATATTTCTACAGAAATATCTATCCAAGCTCCATTTGCTAAATGCATCTGTGTGCTTGAAGAGGTTTGAAATATGCCCTGGTGCTGGCAAAGCCCTGCTTTCTCTTTCTTTCCCTGTTTCTACAGAAAGGTAGATGTAATCTGATTCACTGCTTTTCTACTTTACAGACTCCTCAGGACAGCACTGATTTCTCCCTCCATGTCACAAACCCAAAGATGGAAGTAGCAGACAGATGAGCACCTAGCAAGTACTGAACTATAGGACACCATGCACCATGGTAGCTATAGACCAGAAGCCATGATCTGTAGATACTTTTGGCACAGTGCTATTACACTGTGACTGTGGGACTTGGAGACAGGGGTGTCCATAGGAGAAAAAAGTTATGGTGTAGAGCTTGCAGCAGAGCAACAAGTAGGAGGGTAGTTCAAATGAATGATTTAATAACAGAGGACAACGGACAGCCATGAACAAATTCCTCCATGGCCTCTTCAGGATGATTGCAGTCACAGCATGCCAACTCCAGCAGCCTCCAGTGGCTCTTTTTTTACTCAGAACATGAACTTCAGAAATAAAGACTGTTGGGCTTTCTCTGGAGAGCAGAGAGCCCCTGAGGAGGGGAGGGAGACCCGGCTCTTGGTGTTCTGGGGGTCTCAAGGCTGCCTGTCATCTGGAGGGGAAGAAACAAACTCCTCAGTGAGCATCTTCCTGTATCAAATGTGCGTCTGTCTTAATGAGACTCAGCAGAGATGGGTGACTAATTCCAGAGCATTCATTTATTTGTGAACATGGCTTCAGGTAGATTATTCAAGAGCATACTATGGTGTCTTTGAATGCGTTTGCTGCTAAGCAATTGGCTTTCCCAAGCTCCATGTTGTGGCTGAATGGTCAGATAATTCATGTGATACGGTTTCTGCTCCCGACTGGGTGAACTTGCAAGCACAAATGTCACCATTTGTGAGCATAATTTTTCCCCTTCATGTATGCCCCTGACATTTGCTTTCCACTTACCTTTTTGCCAGTAACATGCAATCACATTTGGTGGAATGGAACACTGCTAATGGACCAGAGAAGGAAGGAGTGGAATGGCCCATAGTGGAGCTAAATGGGACCTTTGGTGCCCAGAGCTTTGAGAGAGACAAAGGCTTCTCATCTCTCCCAGGAGCTCCTCTCTGGTACCCAGCAGCTTAATTCAGAACAAGTGCTTCAGAAACATGCTGCTGTCAGAAGACCTGTGCACTGCTGCAGCAGTGGATGGGGTTGATACCACACCTGTGTGACAGCAAGCAGTGAGAAGAGCTGGAGCAGCGCCTCCTACACTCCAGGCTCCTGGTGGCACGTTTGCACGTGGGGAAACATCACAGGATCCTGATACCATGGCAGCAATACCTGTGCCCTCCATCACAGGGTGAGGCACTCCATTTGAAGCATGAGCAGCCACACAGGAGAAAACCTGCCATGTGGAAATGGTTTAAGTGGCTGATCTTTGGCTAGAGGCTGAACCTGACAAAGCACAAGCTCAGACCTGACGGGCTGGTCCCTCTTCTGCAACAAGTATGTAGGGAAACCCTATTGCTTTGGAAGAGCCCCTAGGCCATGAGTATTATGAGATATGAGGAGGGCTCATTTTCCACCAGTTTGGGTTGTTTCTCTTCCCAAGGGCTTGCAAAGGGACAGCCCCAGTGGGTTGGTAGGCGCAGTGGAGCAGAAGGGCAGCTCAGAGATGCTCTCCAGGTTCAAGGACTGACAACCTGCAGATGAGAGTGTTGCCCAGCTGCCACTCCGCATTGCCTCGTGTTCAAGGGTATTTTGATCCCCACCCTGCCCAGCTGCAGTTACACATCCACTCTGCCTTCAGGCCCAGAGGGCTTTGGAGAGCACCCACACACAGGTGTTGGCCAGTGCTAGTGGGGTGCAAGAGGAAGGGAGAGCCTTGCTTCAAGGTCTGCTCTCCCCCTGCATCCCCTGCCTGGGTGGTGCTGGTGGGAGGGTTTGGATGGTACTGCCCCTGCTCTGTGCTGACAGTGCCACGGTAGCTCTCCTTCTTCCTAAGAAAAATTTCTCCATGGAAATCCATCACTCCATGCCTGATCTAGAGAGGTAGAGCCCCTTAATATTACTTAATGTTACTTTTTTAAGATAAAGATCAGAAGCTGATACACAGGAGATTGTGACTGAAGATTTCAATGACTGTTACCATTTCAGTGGGTAAAACTATAGCACCAGCAGCTGATCCTCAGCAGTGCTTCTGGTAGTTTTGTCTCCCTTCCCCCAAACTTTGTTTATGCCCATAGGACAACACCCCCTGGGGAAAACTGAGCATCCCTTCTGACCTGGAGTTACCTGGCCTGGAAATGCCTCCAGCCCCACCAGACCTCAGAATGCCTTCCTCAGCTCCCCAAGAGGCCATCAGGCCACCCTCTGCCCTGTGGCATGGAAGGATTTCCAGCAGATCACCTTCTCCTTTATCTCCGTGTCTGGAGGAAGAAGTCCAGCCTTCACTGATCACACCATTTCAGACAACCTCGGAAACCATCAGCTCCTGCACTCAGCCACCCTTATCCAGGCACATCCCCCTGCCTACTACTCCATCCTCTCTTGTGCTCCCTTCTCCCCAGGAATAAGCAAAACCCTCCCCTCTGCAAGCCAGCAGGAGTTAATGCTGTCAGCCATGACGTCAGGATCACAGTTTGCCTGAAGAGTCCCCCTCCCCATCCCCAAACTCCCTCTCTCCTCCCCTCCTCTTCTGACTTTGCAATGAGCAGCAAAACTCCACAGGAGCTGCGGCAACAGCACTAGGGAGACATCCAGCCTCCCTCAGAGAGTGGCTCCTTCCACAGACAGGGATTTATTTATTTTTTACACATGCATATATGTATTTATTTATTTACCGGGTTGCATTTGTTTTTCCCTTTTTCCTTTTTTTTTTTTTTTTTTTTTTAACCCTTTCAAAGAAGCCCTACACCATCCAAGTGATTAGCCTGAGCTTGCCATAAAATAGAATAACAGCAGAGTGAGGTGTCACTGCTTCCCCTTCCCCATCGGAAAATAAAGAGGGAGGGGGGAGCAGGTAGATAAAATCCAGAATAAAATTGTACTGCTGATAACTCACACCTCCCCCCTCACACACACACACACACA